GTGAAGAGGTTGGAAGTCTTCTCTAATGAGGTAACATTTGAGCTAAATCTTTTGATAGGCATGGAGGAGTTTAGTTGGAAAAGAAAGGAAATTATTCTGGTCAGAAGTAAAAGTGTAGAGACATGGAGTAAATAGCCTTAGAGATTTGGGGACTCCTCAGCATCATGATGGATAAATGTAAAATCTGCGAGAACAGCCCATGTGAAAAACCTAGCATTACCATTCAGCAGCCTTCAGCTTCGCACAGATTGACTGCGGCACCCGATTTCCACGGTCATACCCGCTGCCTCGTTCTTGTTTCTGTACTCATTCAGCAAGTATTTATTGAATGCCTACCTATATGTCCTAGGCACTGTTCTGGCCCTCAGGGGACAGTGGTGAAGGACAAATGAGATTCCTGCTCTCATTATTTACTTGCAAGTCAGGAGAAACCAACAATAAATAAGAAAAGGCCGAAAACTAGCAGATATTAATAAATGCTATGCGCAGAATTAAACAGGACGGTGTGGTAGGGAGTGACTGGTGCTAACTAGATTGGGTGGTTAGGGAGGGCTTGTATGATGAGTTATTATTTAAGCTGAGACCCAAATGACCAGAAGGAATCAGCTATGTAATGACTAGGGTGAAAATATTCCGGTCTAAGGGAACGATCACCGCAAAGGTCACAAGACAGGAGTGAGGACCAGGAGGACGGCCAGTGGTCTGACGTATAGCGGGCAAGGAGGAAAGTGGTACGTGATGACGTCAGAGAGGAAAGCAGAAGCCAGGTGAAGCAGGGCTGTGCAGGCCAGAGGAAGAAGCTAAGATTTTATTGTAAGTGCAGCAGGTAACCATTAGAGGGCTGTAAGTAGGAGAGTGGTGTGATCTATGGCCTCGAAAGGTTATTCTGGCCGCTGTGTAGAGAGGGAGTTGTGAGGGGCCAGAGCAGAAGCATGGGATGGCGTTACATAGTACTGGGGAGGCATGAGAGTTCATGGTGGATTGGACGACAGGGTAGTAAGGGACATGGAAAGGTCGATATGTTTTGAAGGTCAAGTAAACAAATCCTGCTGAGTTTTGATTTTTGGGAAACTGAGCAGATGGTGGTGTAGTTTACTGAGATGTGTAGGAATGGGCTGAATTGGTCGAGAGTGACAGTGGAACCAGGGGGGTTTGGGGGAACATGGTAAGTTTGGGATGCACAAGTGGAAATATCAAGTAGGCAAATGTGAACCTGGAGTTCCGAGGAAAGTCAGACCCAGCCACCATGTCCGTGTGTAGACTGGGCGCTTTGCTTCCAGAGTTGAGCATCACTGGCATTGATTTGGGATTCACTGCCGTATAGATGGTATTAAAGCCACAGGAATGAATGAGACTTCAGCAAACTCAGGATAGTCATTCTGATCTTTTATCCAAAAGGAAGCATATGATGCTATATTTTTAAAATTCATCTTTAATTCCTTATCAAGAGCCAGTTCCAACAATTTATTCTGAAGCTCTAGTTAAATTATCTTTTGATGATGAAAAAGTTGGATTTCAGGTCAATGAACCTCCTTTGTATAGATTTTCTCTTGCTGGACAATAAAATTTGAGACATCCTATCACATGTGTACAGTATTCAGCACTGACATTTTGCAGATGTGTAATACCAAGATCACCTGTTTCATTGATAATTGTTGATACCAGTCTCCTGTGTACTTTTCAAATACTTTCATGATTTTTGTGGCTTTTGATTGGTCTAGTTATGTTTTCGCTTTTAAATCTTTTATCCATCTGGAATTTATTCTAGTGTAAAGTAGGGAGAATCTAGATTTATTTTATTTCAAGTCTTAGCCAGCTGACTCCAAACACCATATAAACCTTGGCTTTTCCTATTGATCTGAAATGCCATGTGCTAATGTCCCAAGTGGATCCTAAGGTCTATTTCTGGGATTCTAGTCTGTTTCCATGATCTTATTCATGACCCAAGTTATATTTTTATATCAAATTCAAATGACATATATATTAAAAGAATTTCCACATTACAGCATCTGCACATTTTTCAAGTTGCAATGAAAAATACTTTGCTACTGTTCCATGAAGTTCTTCCATGTTACAAGGCAATTCCTTAATCTATTGAACCAAGGTGTCCTTGAAAAGTTATACTATAGCTACCTTCTCCGCTTCATATTGTTAACATTTTGTCAACATTTCCGGATAAACAGTTTTTAGAAAATACTATATTTTGTAGATTTATTGTAAATCTATAAATTTAGTGCAATTCAAATAAAAATTCCAGCTGGTGATTGTTGAGACTTGGCAAAACACTATTAAAGTTTATCTCGAGGAAAAAAAAATTCGTGGAAAACAGCAAATTTTGTAAAATGATTATGATGAAAGAGGACTTTTCATTACCAGATATAAACATGAGGATAATATTAAAGAAAGAAGTATTTTTTTCACCCTCATTGCCAATGAACACAAGGAGCTTTGGAATGTATAAAACTATGAAGAATTATAGTATCTGTAAGTGTGGCTTGGAGTTTAATTTTTGTGCAGGAGTATGTTCTAATGATATAGCTGCTGTGACAGGAAGACATTCTAGAATAGTTGTCAAGATTAATAGGGAGCTTGTGCTAGAATGTGCATTGACCCATTGCTTACTTCCGCAAGAAGTATAACTTCAAAACAGAGTCATTTGAGCTAAAGAATAACGTAAAATTGTAAAAATTGTGAGTCATGTAAAGGCAGTGTGTTAAATACAGGATTATTCTATTATGTGGTAATGCGGAAGCTGGTAAATTTCTGTTGTTCATACTGAAGTATGTGGTTATCAAGGGAAAAGTTCTCTTGAGAAGGCCTAAATTCTTAGTTCCCTCCCAGGTTAGAAAACCAGTTTGATCTAAATGCAAAAGAATTCTCGACTTTTTGAAGATGTGAATTGGAAAGCCTGATTCATTTGGTTTGATACCTTTGGTATCATTGTTGAGGAAAATCCTTCCTGTAAGGAAGAAATGCAACTGGCTTTTAATGACAGCTATAGCATATCAAAGGCTACCTAGATGTCCCCTGGGCACCTCAAAATCAACAGATCCACCATCAAATTCACTACTTTCCCCCCAAACCTATTCTTCCTTTTCTTTTCTTAGTAATTTTTAGCACCATCCACCTTACTGCCTAAGCCAGGCATCTGAAAATCTGTCTTTGCCTGACTCTTGCCTTTCTTCTATATCCAGTCACCACCCAAGTTACGTTGATTTACTTCCGTATCATCTCTCATATATGCTCCTTCCAATGGCCCTGGTTGCTTCTATCTTGAATTAGGCCCTAATCCTCTTACCGTGGACTTGTTACTCTTCACTGACCAACCCGTCCATCAGCTGACCACCAGAGTACTCTTTCCAAACGCAGATTTCTTCCTGGGAGTTTCCTAGGGCGTTGTCTTTTACCCTTAGGAGAAATTCTAGTCTTCCAGTGGCACCCAAAGCTCTCCACAAGCCTCTCTCCAGCTTCCAACCTGTACACCCCCCTACCATGTCTCAAGCAACCATATGTGTTGGTGTGGGGTGCTTGAAACCCTCTGTTTTGCTTCATGCCTTTCTGCCTTCACCCACACTTGGAATTCCCTGCCACCATTCTTTGGAAGACCTAAGTATCTTTCAAGATTTAGTTCAGACTTCACCACCTTTGGGTAGCATTTCCCATCTTCTCCACCCACAGAATATTTTCCCTGCAGAATGGACTGTCCTTCCCTTGTATCCCTGTTGTAGACCCCTTACTTTTCACTACAGCACCCACAAACTCTATTACAGCTCTTTTTTTACCTGCTTCCCTAGTAGACTAGCAGCCCCTTAAGTCGAGGACTCTCTTTCTTTTTTTCTTTTTTAATTCCTAATATCTAATGTTATCTGTACAATTTAGGCACTGACAAATTCTTTGAATGAGTTAATAAGTAAAAAGTTTCAGAGACCTGATGGAAAGCGTTGGCAGAGAATGCAATAGTGTTGAAACTGGTCCAGAGGAGGTTACAGGGCAATGCAGTGATGAGAGTAAGGCAAAAGATAACTTACTAAGGGGTACTTGACTTTGTATGGTGGATGAGGATGAGAGGCATGGTGGGCCTGGCTGACTTGAAGCTTCTGGCTAGAATTCTGCTATAAGATTCCTCTATTGCTCTAGAAAAGTACAGGTGGTACTTGAGGCCAAATGAAGTTTGCTGGATATAATCCAGTTTGCAAATATTAGCACATGCATACCAATTTTGTATAACAGCACTGCATTTATCTAGTGCTTTACAGTGTACAAAATTCTTTACTTTAATTATTTTATTTGACCCTTAGACCAGTTATCTCTCCAAGCTTCAGTTCCCATTTTTATAAAACGAAGATAATAGCTGTGTCTTGGGATTGTTTACATGATATGTTTGGCACGCAGCCATGTACCAAATAGGTTCTTAGGTCAGGAATTTGAGGCTCATGTTGGTTAAGTGACTTGCTCAAGGTCGCAAAGGTAAGTTAATGGCAGATTTGGATATAAATTCTGTGTCTTATCTCCTCTTTGTATAGTGGTCTTTTTTCTACACCAGGCTGTAAGGAGATACTGTCTTCTACATTACTTGGTGCATGGCATCTTTAATTTCCTTTAGAGGCTTACCCAAAAGCAGGCTTTGGAATTACTCATATTAGAGAGCTTATTGCCAAAATCAAGCAAAATCTGAAACTTGGCTAAAACCAACATGCAAATATAAATAATGTTTTTATGGCTTGAAATGCTTCCTCACCTCTCTGTTTTATACGTGGGGGTTTTCAGTGGAGAATCTGAGCAGGCTAGTTCCTGCCTTCGTGAAGTTCGGTGGAGGTGTGCTCTCGTTTACAATAATGCTTAGAATACCGGTTTCGAGTCCAGTTTTAGGCCAGAACAAGTGTCAGTCTGGGGCCCTGGAAGTGAGGTAGCAGAAACCTGAAGTGGCATCTGAAACAGAAAGAGTGAATCTGGGCTGAGTAGCCACTGACAGTCACACCCATCTGTCCTTGTCTGTCCAGGAAGAACCTGAAGCCACAAAATGTGACCTGGAGATGAAATTATTAAGTGAAACAGTTTCAGCAGGTACTTTTCTAAATTACATTTTTAGAATTGAACTTTATTAGGATTTTCTGCTTGTAAAAGAAATGTAGGGGCATTGTAAAAAAACAAAACAAAGCAAAACAACTCAGATGCTGCAGAAGTATATTTAAAGTGAAACTTCTTCCTAATCCCTCTTCGGAGATAACCAGTGTTAGCAGTTGTGTTTTTTGTTGTTGTTGTTTTTTGTTTTTAATATGGGCACTCTCTGTCTGTCTCTCTCTCTCTCTTTTGACTTTAAAACCATGGGATTACATCATACAAATGTTTTTGTTCAAATTACTTTTTTCACCTAACAATATTTGTTATTGTACATACATACATGAAACACAATACATATTCTCCTTAAATGAATAGTATTCAACATTATTCTAAGTCAGAGCACATGGGTAACCTTACTTTTTAAAGTGTCTGTGTAATGCCATCTAATAATGGAACATTATTTAAATCCTTATTAGTAGACAATAAGGTCACTTACAATTTTTTTGTTATCACAAACAATGTTGCCTTGAACATTCACAAGCACACATACACAAAAAGAAATTTCTCAACACTTTTGTAATAAGTCTTATTCTGGCAAATAGCAATTGCATACAGTTTTAAAATGTCAAAATGATAGTGAAGTCTAACTTGTAAATCTTTTAATTTGAGATTTATGTATAGCTTTTCCATTAACTTCATTGTTACGCTACTTTCCCAGTACCTTTTACGGAATCTGCTTTCTAATGTATTTTTTAGCAAAATTTTTTATAACAGGCTTCTTGTCTACTTCACTTTTTCCAACATACTTTTGTGTCAGCAGTCAACTAGGTTTGTATCTTTGTAATTTTTCTGTAATTCCTGTGAGGTAATTTTCCTGTTAGAAATATGATACTATAGTCAATGCATAAACCTCTGTCAGTAACACCAAGGTTTTCTGCATGGTGACCCCCGAATAATGCGTATCATAAACAGTCTAAGTTTGGACACAGTATTCTTTCTTTTCAGGTAAATCGATTACTAATTAGATACATCTGAAAATTACGTAAGGTCTGCATTTTATTGAAGGTACACAGGGAAAAGGGGCAGTTATTTACCTGGAATTTTCTTTGGATATTTCCATTTTCTTTCAGCGCCTAGTCTCCGTGGGTTAAATTCAGTGCCATCTTGGTGCGCTTCCTTTGATGGAAGAGGAAAATTGTAATGAGAAACAGTAAGACTAACAGATCCTGAGTTTTTACTATATGTCTGACACCAGTTCTAAACTCTTTTCCTATATTAAATCACAGTGTCCCCAAGTTCTAGAGGATAGATACTACTATTACATCCATTTTTTTGGAGGAAAGCACTTGGACTAGAGATGTTAATTAGCATGTCTTGATAAGGTCACACAGCTAGTTAAGCATGGAACCTGTAAGTGGCCTGATCTCCTTTCCTTATCTATCACACTCTATTGAAAGAATTTTGGTAAAAGTTGAGAACGGTGATGTGTGACATCAGAGATCCCCTGATTGTGCACTGAGAATTCTGGGACAATAGAATTTCCCCTTAGAACTTCTCAACACAAGAGATTATCCAATCCGGTGTCTTCTCTTTCATCTTCCATCCCTGTATTTCTATGAGCTGGGCCTATTTTTTGCTGGAAAAAAGTTAGCTTTTATTTCATACATGGACCAAAATTTATTATTTTTTTTTTACCATTTTACTTTCTTTCAGATTTTTAGCCCCAAAATGTCCAATTTTTAAAAATTCATTTGGTGGTTATCAAATTTTGTGTTAAACCATTTTTGATCTTTTATAATGTAAGATAGCAGGGTCTGCCAGCCCAAAATGTGCCACTTTGGCAGAAGTGTTTTGAGCTGAAAACAATTTAAAAGATGCAGATGCAAGAAAAGGTCCCTCCCCTCCTCCTCTTTGCCTAAAAGCAGGATAGAAATTTTCAAAAGTATTCTTCCTCCCCTCTGTACCAGGAGGGGCAAAGGTTAATTCTCAGAGACAACTTGAGACCCTGTCAGCCTGGAGGGGGCGCCACATAGCCGACTTTACTAACTGCTTTCCTTTGGCCTGTTATTTTCCACAAATTTATTGTTCTTTGTAGACAATGCTATATAAACCAGAGTTCTAAACCACCTCTTTGAGTTACTAATTTTTCCCAGGGTATCTCCCATGTATACGTGAGGTGTACATGTTAATAAACTTCTATTTGTTTTTCCCTTGTTTATCTGTCTTTTATTACAGGTGTCTCAGCCAAGAACTCAGAAGCTAGTGGGAAAATTATTTTTCCACCCCTACAATAAACTGCATTTTTGAAGGTTTTGTTTTAATAGTAACACATACTTATTGTATACAAATTCCTAGAATGTTAGTATATGAACTATAAATGGAGCCCTCCCCTGCACCTGCCATTATGCATACGTGTTCCCACTTCCAAGGTTAGCTTTGTGAACAGTTCTGAATTAACCACATTTTGAAAAATTTTTGTAGCTAAATGAAAGCTTCCTTTACCACTGTTAGAATTTTTTTTTTATCTCCCTACTAAGAAAATACAGAAATGTTATGATCTATTTAGGAACTGAGTTAATCTGATTAATTTCAGCCCAGATGTTGCTGTTAGAGAATGCTTCTGAAAAGCCATATTCCTTTGAAGACCCTGAGGTTGATTTATACCAATTCACAACTCTGGGTGGAGTGTACCACTTGGATATTTTGGAGCTTCCCCCTCAGTGTAAACCAGTGAAGGGCTGGATGATTGTGGAAGTAGGTTGATTCTTGAATCAAAATTTATGAATAATTTCTCACTTTTACTTTATCTCAAATGATCTAATATCTGATGAACTCTAACCCTATTAAGCAAGCACAAAGGAAAAAATGTAATTTTAAACTGTCTTGGATTTATAAATTTGACTCAGATACTAAAGGAGGAATCTGAAATGTTACGAATTTTGAAACTAGAATTCATACATTTTAACTTAATTGTAAATCTACAGCACTGTGTTTATATTGTGCCAGTTTGGCCTTAATAATGATATTCTGTTTCAGAGGCTGGCGAACTTTTTCTATTAAGGGCCACGTGGTAAATATTTTCAGCTTCGCAGTCCACACACCAGCACTGCTGCAACTCCTCAACTCTGCCATCGTAACACTAAAGCAGCCGTGTGTAAATGAATGGGCGTGGCTGTGTTCCAATTTAACTTTACTTACAACACTGGTGATGGGCTGAATTTTCCAGGGACCATAGTTTGTGGATTCTGGTCTAAATCAGTGATTCCCAGTATGTTGTCCCTTAGCCAGAAGCGTCAGCATCTTTTGGCATCATCTGGGAATTTGCTAGGAATGCAAATTCATGGGCCCCATCTCAGTCACTCTGGAGGTGAGGCTCAGCCATCTATGTTTTAGCAAAACACACCCTAAAGTTTGAGAACCACTGGTCTGGATCCTTAATATACAGAGTGTGGTCCATGAGCCGGCAGCATCAGCACCACCTGGGAACGTGTTAGAAACACGTAATTCGGGGCTTCATCTCAGAGATACTGAATCTTCATTTTAACAGGACTTTCAGGAGATTCATACACACATTCAAGCTTGAGAAGCACTGATCCAAGTGATGCCAGTGCTGCTGGTGCTCAAATACCAGTAAGGATACTGATGGTAGCAGTTGTTCATCATGTTTCAAGGAGTTCCTCATCCCTCTTTCAATAAGTAGCAACACTTGCACTAGTACTGACTTGGTTTAACTTCTGGTGGCCTGTGTCCCAGATATACCCGGTTACGTTGTCGTGGACCCTCCCTTCCTTCCTTCCTTCCTTCCTTCTTTCCTTCTTCTCCTGCCCTTCTTTTCTTTCTCCCTCCCCTCTCCCAGCCCCCTCCCACTCCCATCTCTCGGCTCTAACACATCAGGTACATAGATTGCCAGGTACTGGTCACCACAACCCCACCTGTTAAGGGTTTTCATGCACTCTTGTATTAGAGCAGTATTTCTTAATTTTTATTTTTTTCCCCATTTTCACCCCTCTCAGGAGCCTTTATAGACATTTTTTCCCTAACAACATCCCCTGTGAAATACTGTCCACAGATACACTGTCTATCTATTGTGTGTGTTATATGTACTTTTGTGTTTTATACCTGAAAGAGTAGTTTTTTCATAACCCCTCAAACTAATTTTCACCCTCTTAAGGATAATATTGCTGTTCCTTTCCTCTTCTGTTTTTTCCCTCAATCATTATCTTTAATTTCATTGTGACATTTTGTTAGTCAGTCTGTACTTAAATGTGACCAAACTGCGGTGCTTATTAAAAATAACTATACAGCTCATTGAGCAATATTTACATCTTTAGCTATTACTAGTCAGTTTCTAACTTGGTGTTATTTTGGTCATTTTCAAAAGATACTCAAAGAAGGATTACAGAAATACGTGTATCCTCCAGAAACTACAGAAGACTTTGAAATGGAAAATGCTTTCCCACCCATAGAGGTCATGCTTAAGGTTCATGAGAATGTCATCTTTTTTGAGGCTCCTATGGTTGCAAGGTGGGATGCTGAAGGTACAGTAATGCCTTAACCAGCTTTGATAATTATGTCACGAAAAGAGGTGTGGTAATACAGATCCTTACGTCAAAACAAGAAGTGCAGTGTGTAAACAGAGTTTCACACTGGCATATTTCTGTGCCAAATCTAGGGTCTTTGCTTTGTTTGCTCTTGATGGAAATGAATAGGGATTGGAGTTTAAAAATTTACTGAGTTTTATAACTATTAGTTCCTATATTAGTTAATTTTATCTGCCATATTCTCTGAACCGTTACTTGATGGTTATATAATTGTGTTTTAAGAAAGAAGGAAATGCACAAAAATACCAAGATAGCATAGCAAATCAAATAAAAAACAACAAATGAAAAGCCTGCTCTCTCTTGCAATGGCCAAATAATTCAGATTGGGGGGATTAAAATTTGATTATTTTAATGTTAATAACTTATAAGTTGCAAATCTTACTGCAGCCAAGTCCTGGGGAAGGGGAGTGGGCAGATGGGAAACCTGAGAAAGAGGAAAACTAGCCACTGTATGCCTCTTTATAACTCTGACTGTGGAACCATGAAATTATTGCCGATTCCAAATGTTAAGTAAATATCAATAAAGTCAGAAGTACTAACAGAAATGCAAGCTAACGATTCACGAGTCACTAACAAACGGCTTATTTTGGGTTGACTGGCTAAACTCTGAAAGGCCTTGTGAATCAAGCTGTGCAGTTCTGAGGCTCTTAGGTGGAAGCTATGTAGCTTTGTCTTTAATGTGAATTATCTTACATCCTGTTTATTCGTGAAAGGGTTTACACACCGGGTGATAGGGTGGAACAGATAAGACCACCAAGGCACAGAGCTATTACTTAATCTATTTAGTTATGGGGGCAGAGAATTTAGAGAATATTTTGTGCTTTAAACTTTTTTTATGATTGCTACAATACTCCACATTTTGCTTTTATAGACATAGCCACAGATATTATTTATTTTAGAAACAATTTATGTATTAAAACAGTATGTTTCTATCAATACGTTAAACTACAAAATATATCAAAATGAGCATTAGGTAATTTCTTCCTTTCACATTGCTTTAGAGGTTTCACTTTTCCATTCCATTAATGGTAAGGTTCTTAAATATTTATTTATCACATTAAAATTTATTCACACTGAAAGGAAAAAAAAAAAGAAAAAAGGACATTAATGAACTCATCTACAAAAGAAACAAGACTTCCAGACATAGTAAACAATCTTACAGGTACCGAGGAAAGTGGGTGGGAAGGGATAAATTCAAGGGTTTGAGATTTGCAAATGTTAACCACTGTATATAAAAAGAGATTAAAAAACAGATTTCTTCTGTATAGCACAGGGAACCATATTCAATATCTTGTAATAATGTTTAATGAAAAAGAATATGAAAACAAGCATATGTATGTCTCTTCATGACAGGGACATTATGCTGCACACCAGAAACTGACCCATGGTAACTGACTATACTTCAATAAAAAAAAAAAATACTCACACTAAATTAGAATTCGACAAGGGAAGTTATCCCAAATGATTCAGGGAAATACAGCATGTAAAATTTGATTATGCAGTAATTATACAGCAGTAATCTCTAACTCCAGTACTTTTTAAACCATGGGGAAACTTTTTTGCCAGGAAATACTAGAAATTTGGAGAATTTATTATAGGCAATATTTAATTTTTACCTTTACAAATTAAAGTTATTTTGTTAATGTAAAAGCAAAAAGAGGAATTATAAGTCACCTAGTTTTCCAATATAATTGTATTTGTTATATTGAATTTAAGAGTCAAAAACAGTCATTGGAACCCGCCCTGTGAGAAGAGGAGAAACCGTCCCTGTGAGAAGTGGAAATGAAGAGGGTATTCTGGGAAAGAAGTGATTCATTCACTCATTCTATAAATATGCTAAACAATAAGAGAGATAGAGATAAATGAGACAGTTCCTTCCTCCAGGAGTTTTCGAAGTTGTAGGAGAGGCACACACGGAAGAACATCATAATACAATGTAGCAAGGTGCTATATAATAGATGGAGGTGTGGGGCAGAACAGTGACTGGGTCAGTCTGGAGAGTTAAGGAAGGCCTTTTCCAGGATGGAAATTTAAACAGGTCCTTAAGAGACTAAGAGAACATTCACGTGTAAGTCTTTGTGTGGACATAAGTCTTCATTTCTCTTGGGTATATCCCTAAGGATGGAATTGCTGGGTCGAATGGTAAATTGATGCTGAACTGTTTAAGAAACTGCAAAATGTTTTTCCATAGTAGTCATACCATCTTACATGCCTGCCAGCAACATACGAGGTTTCTCATTTCTCCACATCCTTGCCAACATTTGTTATTATCTGTTGTTGTTGTTGTTTCTCTCAATTAAAGCCACCCTGCTGGGTGTGAAATGGTACCTCGTGGTTTTAATTTGTATTTCCCTAAAGGCTGGTAATGTTGAGCATCTTTTTCATGTATTTAGTATACTTTTGTGTATCTTCTTTGGTGAAATGTTTATTCAAATCTTATGACCATTCTTTTAAGTTGGATTGTGTTTTAGTATTGATTTATAAGAGACATAAAAGACCACCTATTATATAATTGTATTTAATGAAAAGTCCAGAAAAGGCAAATCTTCAGAGACAAGAAGTAGATTAGTGGTTGCCTGGGGCTGGGGTTAGGAATGGGAATTAACTATAAATGGACATAAGAGACCTTATCAGGAGGATAATAATGTTCTAAAACTGGATGGTGGTGATGGTTGCACAGCTGGGTAAATTTACTAAAAAATAAGATAGGTGAATTTTATTTTTTAATTAAAAAAATTTTTTTTGAAGTACAGTCTGTTACAATGTGTCAATTTCTGGTATACAGCACAATGTCCCAGTCATGCATATAAATACATATATTCATTTTCATTTTTTTTCATTAAAGGTTATTGCAAGATATTGAACATAGTTCCCTGTGCTATGCAGAATAAACCTTTTTAAAATCTGTTTTTATATATAGTGGCTAATATTTGCAAATCTCAAACTCCCAAATTTATCCCTTCTCACCCCCCTTTCCCCCAGTAACCGTAAGATTGTTTACTACGTCTGTGAGTCTGTCTCTGTTTTGTAGATGAGTTCATAGAAGAAAAGATGAGTCCTTTTTTTCTTTTTTTTTTTTAGATTCCACATATGAGTGATAAGATAAGTGAATTTTAAGTTGTTTTTAAAAAGAAAGATGAACAGAGATTCTCTAAAAGGTTAAGGAAGAGAACTCTAGGAAGAAAGAACTGCATGTGCTGAGGCTCAGAGGTATAGGATGTGGCTGGGGAAGGAAAAAAAGTGGCTAGAAACAGGTGTGAGAAGTGGCAAAGGATGAAACCAGAAATAAGAGTCAGAGCTTCATTCTGAAGGTCTCACAGGCCATGCTGAGGGGTTTGGTCTGGATCCTGTAGACAGGAAGGAACTCCCAGGAAAGTTGACTTTTTGTTGAGATTCTACTCAATCAGTCCATTAGTCAATTAATGTGAAAAATCAGTTAATACACATTGTAGTAATTGAGGTGGTTTCTTTCACCTGATTTTTGTAGAGGGAAAAATGAAACTAATGTCACATTCTTCCTAATTATAAAGGTAAACACTGGAAGACTGATGGCATCAGCAATGTGTCTTACCAACCAGAAGACAGACTTATAACATTCAGCCTGGAAACCTTTGGCCCTGTTACCTTGATTCAAGATGCTCACGTTAACATGCCATACCAGTCATGGGAACTAAGGCCACTTGATGTGAATAAAGTACTTTTGACTGTGACTACAGTATTTACTGAGATTCAAATACAAGTTAAGGTAAACCACTGTTGTAGCAAGTCAAATCAAAGAGGGACGCCTCCTTGAAGACTGTAAGACAGTGTCCAAGCAGTCAGTCATGGTGATTTACATACTGAAACATGTCTTTCATAAAAATATTTAAAGTATACCTTGAGCTATAATTTCTAAATGAAATATTAATTGAATCAATAGTAATAACATGTAATAAGTAAAGTGCAAATCTGTACCCTAAAGTTTCTAGGAATAGACCAATTGATGAAGCTGAAATTCCTTATAAATGTGCCAGGAAGGCTGAAATAGCATCAGATTTTGCTTTTAAAGTCAGATGAGAGAGTGAACTCTGCACATCTTCAAACCGCCACTTTGTAAACTTTAAACCTGGAAAATAATTTTGCAGTATTATGTTAAAATTTTATATATATAAAAAATTATGATCCTTAAAAGTTGCAACACATTGTTGCCAAATAGCTACTATACTTCAGTATGAACATATGCACCACTCTTAGATCATAACGTATAAAATGGGAGACCAGATAGATACTTTAGTTCAATCTCTTGATTGCTCTTATAAGCCCAAAAAGAGGTGATAAACTGCTTAAGGTAACGTGAAGACTTTGTGCTGAAGCTTTTGGATCAGACCTAAAACATATCTGTCCTATATCCTTTTTAATATAGGATAATACAGGATTTTTAAAAAATAGGGTAAAGAACCTAACAATTGGAACTGAAATGATAATGAGGTAAAAATTTAACTTACTTATAGAAAAGGTTCTTTTTTCTCCTTGAAACTAGGAAAACCTCTGCATGTTAGCTTCAATCAAACTAAATAACAAAAGGCATTCTTCTGCTTTGGAAGAAAAGTGGATGTCTCCTGTTTCTTTCATTATTGCTTTGAAAGAAGCTGGATTGAATATCTTCCCAACTGGACACTCTCATTTTTATGTTGTTACAAACTATAAGGTAAGAATGACTCTTTCCAAATTTAATGTGATGGACATTTAGAATGTTAGCAAGTATTAAGTATTATAGAAATCCTAAGGTACACCATGTTTTCTACATTCACTTACATAAGATTACAGTTAGAAAGAAAGGAATGTATGTGGAATCTTAAAAAAGATAAAAGGAATTCATCTACAAAACAGACTCAGACATAGTAAACAGTCTTATGGTTACGGGGAAAAGGGGGTGGGAAGGGATAAATTGTGGATTTTGAGATTTGCCAATGTTAGCCACTATATATAAAAATAGATTTAAAAAAAAATTTTCTTCTGTATAGCACAGGGAGCTATATTCAATATCTTGTAATAACCTTCAAAGAAAAAGAATATGAAAATGAATATATGCATGTATATGTATGATTGAAACATTATACTGTACACCAGAAATTGACACATTGTAACTGACTATATACTTCAATTTTTTAAAAAAAGAAGAAAGGAAGGAAAAAAGGACAAGAACAGAAATCCGGAGTTCTCTCAAATTTAATCTTCCCCAAGAGAGTAAGCCTGCAGTATGACCTTCATGTTAATGAATGGAGCACAACCCCAGCTGGTCAGTTTAGTGCAGAGGTAGTCTGAGCAACTTCACGTTTTATATATTTTCTTTCTTCTTCCAGACTGGATATATGTAAGATTTCTTAAAAGAGTATATGACTTAGCAGTTTCCCAAACATGATAAATCAGGCAAAATTAAACATACGGGGACCAGTGTACAAAACCCACTTCTTTCGGTTTCTTGGCAGAGCCTCCCTGTCCGCAAACTGCTTCATGTTACTCATAAGGCTTTAGTTAACTGAGATGCTTGCATGTTAAACTGAGCTCCTTGAGGGCGAGGACCATTTCTTAATCAACTTTGGTTCTTCTAGTGAGCCCACTCCTAGAATACAGTGCATATTTGGCAAACATTTATCACATTTGAATGAAGACAAAGTAGCTTCTAATCATGAAAGGTGTTTTGGGCAGAAGAGTTCTATACTCAAGAACAAATTTATAATATACCAGAAAGTGACAATATAGGTCAACAGAACATTTTAAACAATTGTATCGATAAGAGCATGTACACATATGAGTAGGGAAAAAAAACCACCTTGGTTTTAGTAACTCAAACTGCCAATTACTCTCCAAATGCTGAATGTCATATACTATTCATCTTACCAGAATACAGTATTCAAGAATTTTTTTCTGAACCCCTATATTCTAGACGTTGTTTTAGGTGCTTAGGAAACAGTGAATAAAACAAAGGTTCCTGCCCTTGTGGAGCTTACATTCTAGTAGAGAGAGGCAAAAGTAAATAATAAACGTGATAAACAAAATTATCCTGTATGTCAAAAGGGGATGCGTGGTACGGGAGAAAGAAAACGTGGATCAGGAATAGTGGGGTTAGGGCAGCAAACAGTATGAAATAGGGTGTGGGGGAGGGGGCCCAGTGAGAAGGTAAGACGGAGCAAAACCTCACGGTGGGGAATTTAGCCAAGCTGGTATCTCTAGAAGGATGGCAGCTTCCGGGTAGAGAGAGGGGCTGAAACAAGGGCCCTGAGGGAGTGTGTCTGGGGACTAGAGGGGCAGCACGGAGGCGGGGAGCTGGGAGAGCCAAGGGAGGAGGAGGAGGTCGGAGAGAGAACGGGGTGTGGGGGGACGTCAGGTCGCAGAGGCCCTCATGGAGGACTGTGGATTCTACTCTGGGAGAAGGGGGACGCCGCTGCCCATTTTGAGAAAGAAGCCATGAGATCTGACTTAGAGTTTAAGTGCCTCTCTCCGTGTTGAGAGCAGACCAGACTGTAGGAGGCCAGGGGTGGAAGGGAGACTTGAGAGGCTCCATGAGCCACAATACTGGTTTTTATTTTGACAGCTTCCTTTGGTAGAAATGAAAGCTTATCGACAAATGGCCCTGCTAAGTTCCGCTTTTGCATTTGGTTGGAGCAGGTGGAATACAGAATGTGATCCTAAAAACGTTGTATTTAAGGTATAGTATGCAAAACCCCATTAAACTACTTTGCCCTCCCAAAGAAGATAAAGTACTGAAAAGCTAAATGAATGTAGACCATGGTTTCTCCTCTTAAAAGGTGAAAACATTAACATTCAAAATGGAGTTTTAAAACCTCATTTTTCTTTAGTTTTGTCAAAACTATAAAACCAAACCATGTGAAGGTTATGCCTTCGCTGTCCATTATGGTATCAAATGCTCTTGATTTTAGGTTAGCGTCCTTATCTCCCTTCACATCAACTAAAGAACAGATGAGCCTTTCATGAGACTGTATCTGTGATTCACAAACTTCCTCTGAGAGGGTTAGGCTTCCAGTTTAACTTTCTGGCCCATTTACTACTGCTTGATTTCCAAAAAAGAAAAAAAAAAAGGTATCTTACCAATTCTACAAGTTGACTGATGAATATTTTATCATAAATGAGTCACCCTACTTATTTATCCTGTTCATTATGTGTTTCTCCCATTAGAATGTAAGCTCCTTGAAGACAAGATTCTGTTGTTGCAGTTGTTCGTTATTTATTAATGCAGTTGGGTATTTTTTCTTAGTTTTGGTGGTGTTAACAGCCCCGGCACCTAGACCAGTACCTGGCACTTGAAGCCATTCAATAAATACTTTTAAGAGAATTAATACATTTTGATAAGCTCCATAAACACCAAGATATAAACAGTTCCGTGCTTAAAGAAAAAGGAGACGTTAAGAATGTTTCTTTTAATGTTGGCAATTTGGGGAACTCAGTTACGCCCTTCAAATAAGACTTTCTGCTGCCAAAATGCCTCATAGAGAAATCTGTTCAGTTCCTCTTCTAATTTGCTTCAGGTGCGGGAACACCTTACAAAAGAAGAACCCAGTCCGAATCCTAACTGGAACTTCCTAATGTTCAGCGGTGACAGGGCCCAAAGTCTCAAGATCAACGAATCCAGTGAGGCATTCTCTAAAGCCCTCAAAGAAGACACTGAGTTTCATTCTACTTTATATCACATGGTGAAGGATTCTGCTTCTGAGGAAGCAATGGAGAAAGTCGGGCGTTCCAGCTGTCAGTTTATTGACTCTGTGTGCCATCTGCTCCTCTCCACTAGGTTACTCAGCTATTCTTAAATCCCCCCTGATAAATGTTACTCAGTCTGAAGAAAGGATCAGGCAACTTGGAGAGAAATCAGGTATTATTTCGTCAATAAAGTATGATGAGTGAGTATTTTTCAAATAGCGTATTAAAAGATCTAATCAGCATTTTATATACTCCAATTTTTTTTAAGAATTAGGGGTTTTTCCCTATGTATACTTAGCCTACTGAGAGTTCCAACTTTTGACTATGAAAATTTGAATGGTTCTTTATTTCAATAAATTTTAACAAACAATAATATCTCCTCCTCAAAAAGTTCATTAAAAAGTCATAGGCAGCCTTCCTCCCCATCGTACTTCAGTGAGGAAGGCAGTCACAAAAAGGGGGGGACTATAAAATATCTTGCAGTCATTCTGAGAACCTCTGGTTCCATGCTCTAATCTCCCAGCTAAAAGTTACTAGTTTACAAAGTTCAGATACTGAAACTTTAAAAAAAAAAAATCAAGACACACATTGGGATGTGCTGCAGTCACACTGGTGGTGGCCCATTGTGCTGGAGTCTGGTAAATGGCCACAAGATATGTTCCAGAGACATCCAGGAGTCCCCGGCCTGTGTGGGCGCCGCATCCACAGACTTCTGGAAGAATCGGCCTGTGAAGAAGCTCATCAGCGCTGCAAACAGCACAATGAGTGCGACAGAAAGCCAGAGTGCCCTGTTGGCCTCTCTGACGGAAGTCTTGAGGCTTGTTGCCCAGGAAGCTATTGTGCCATAACTACAAGGAAAACACAGATTCAGAATTCAGTCTCTTGTTAGAAACACTCCTTTTGTCAACAGTAATCAAGTCACACATCTGCCCTGCAGTCCACCAACACCGCCTTGTAATGTGCTTCATAACGTGGTCTATCATCTTGGCTTTGCCACAATCTACACACCACCCCCTTTATAATTTTCAAATTATAAGAGTTAAAGAAATGTTGTGGTAGGTAAATATCTGAAAATTATGTGATTTAGGCATTATTTAACTCCTAACAAGTACATGTGAGTATTAATTCCATTCTTTCAACCAGGTAAGACAACTTACATTCTTGTGGAAACAAAAATGTTACTTACTGGGTAGAGCAGGATACGTGTGTGTGTGTCCTATGAATGTACATATAAACGTGTCACTTATTTCTTACCAGGCCCTGGGCTTTTGCTGTACTGAAATTTAAACTCTTTTAAGAAATACCCACCAAAACAAGCTTATTATGTTAGCATTGCATAAGTCTTTGAAAATAGTTAACTCTGTGTTAAGACACTGTGCTGAGTATTTTACATGCTAATTCATTTAATCATGACAACAAAACAGTGACATAGGGACCATTATCATCCTTATTTTTTAGACGAAGAAATCGGTGCTCAAAAATGAATGAATTTGCCCAGGTCACATAGCTGGTTAGAGAGCTAGAATTCGAGCCTGGGCCATCTGGCTCCAAGGCCAGGTTCTTAACTCTGTGAACTCTCCTGCCTCTTGTAGCCCACAGGTTCAGGGATAATTCCTGTAGACCTTACAGAGTTTGTTATTCATCTGAAATTTAACAATTTGAAAGCTCTTTCAGTAAAGAAATATAATTAAGATGATTAATGCTAACCCTGCCTTACCTCTCCCCATTCCACCAAAATGGTATTATTTAGCAAGTAGACAACTTACATCGAAGATACATCCCATTTTGATGGATTATTTTTCTTTTCAGAAAGACTGGGCTTTCTTGTCCTTTCTACTGCTGCTTCTCCAGGTGGTTCTGAGTCATCTTTAGTTCTGCAAATATTGTTTTTAAATATTAAACTATGGATAACGTGCTATAATTATTTATAAAATAATGCTAAATTTTATGGTATTAGTAAGAAAGCTCACAGGTATGTGTTTTGCTTTAGAAAGATTTGATAAATATCTAATTCTGAAAGTCAAATCAGCAAATTTATATTTTTAATCATTCATAGGAATTTAGTTTTTGAAAGTAACTTTTTGTATTTAGAAAAACAGCAAATGTTTGTTGTAAATAGTTGGGGTACTGGCCAAAGAACAAATAAAAGGGGGAGATGTACAAAGAGCATGTCAGTCAATTCTCACCACTCATAGTTAACCAGTGTCACTGCTGTGATTTCTTTCCCCGTGTGTGTGCATAACCACACTTTAAAAAACAAGTGCAGATGCCACTGTGTATCTTCTTATTCAACGTGTAGTACAGTTTTTCTCATTAAGCATTCGTGTACCACGTTTTTTATATTCTATATTAACAATTGGTTTTACTCTTTCCTCTGTAGGTTTTTTGAGCAATGCTAAATTCGAGTAACACCAAAGTGTCATGTCGTCTTTCTCCAAAAAAATCTTAATTTTAAAAGTGTTTATGAAAATATGTTTAGTATAAAACTAGCTAAAATAGTACTCAGTGAGCTGGGAAACAACAGTTGGGTTGACCGTATTTTAAGTAAAATGATATTATCTGAAGAGGCACCTTTTACATGAATACAACTTAACTGTTTCATTGTTCGTGTTTCACGTTCACTGTTAACTTCCTTGGCATTTGAATATTGAAACCCCAAACTCAAAATCCCCTCACAATTGCCAAAGGGAACTGTGCCTCAAAGTTTCTGTTTTTGTTTTTCAGTCAGCCATCTATAGAGAACGCATGGGGTAGATTCTGGTTTGGTTTTTAAAGGAAGCAAGGCCCAAGAGCCAGAATTCTTGTAAGATTCTCAAGGTTTCAGTCTTTTGTTTGCAGAGACTTCTCAGTAGAAATCATACTATACTAACAAAAATTTAAAAGTAGATTATAGTCTTTTCAAGGAAATTCTTGTTTTTTTTTTAAACCCAGATCAGAAAATATCCATTATGTTAGCTCTAAATCTAAAAAAAGTTTTCAATACATGCAGTAGGCTCCCAGGATTATAATTTTTTTTTTTTGAAAAAAGGACCGAGGGTAGGCACTGTGTCTTTTTCATCTTTATATCCTTTAGGCTTGATAAGCACGTAATGAACATGTGAAAAATGAACTTAAAGTTGTTTCATTAAGATCTCTCCAGATGAGGAAGCTGAGACCAAATAAAGTTAAGCAATTTGTCCAACATCACCGAAGCATTTCCTCATGGCTCTCCCTCTTGCCTTCTTCCTTTCACTATAGAAGGTGAATTTTTACTTGTTAAACTTGATAGGTACAGAGATAGCAATAGAGAATTTTATGTCTTCCCTACTCCTCATTTACTTAAAGGGAAGACAGATGTGTATATATAATGCACATACATTATGTGTGTGCCCATATGTTGTACATAATTCATCTAAGTGGATGGACATTTTATTTTCGTGGCTCTTTACTGACCTTTCCTCCTGAAGGCAAGAAACCTAAATAGGAAAAAAATCATCCTCAGAAATCTGGCAAATTCATCTTTCCTAACTTAAGACCTCAAACCTTGCAGTCCAGAGTACCACAATAGTGAATGTATTCACAAGTAACATTTATATAGTGCTTTATAGTTTGTTAACGCCTTACACACTGAATTATCTTTTTGATGATGCAGGATTGAGCTCATCTCTGTAGAATGAAAGTGACCCCCACTGTTTATGCCCCAGTCACGTCAGGTTAATAAACACATTAAGCTTCACCTACTTTAGTTCACATTTTTCTTCTTCAGCATCTGCCCAGGAATAGGTGCTAATAAATCGATGTAGTGAGGGACGATGTTCACTCTGCTTTGAGCCCAAAATACGCCTAAATAAAGATGATTATAGCCACTTGTCAAATCAGATACTTCTGTAGCCATTATCAATTATTTTCCACTACCTAAGCCAATACAAAAATGATGCGTTCTCATTTTTATCTTGGCATATTCACACAACACTTTCAAGAAAACAATTTCATGATTATATACCAATTTTTACAATTATTCAACATGTGCTCTGTACAAATCACATGTTACTATATCACTTCTTTCAAACATTTACTTTAGCCCAATTATAAAACAGGTTCCCAAAGAGCCACCATGAAAGTACACTTACCAACTGCTTGACCTCCGATTGAATCGGTCATTATTTTCCATCCCAGCCATCTTTAACGTTCAGACATTAAGGAAATAATAAAATATGAATTTAGTGAAGTAAATTTATATTTTGTCACATGCAAATGAATTTGCTTTGGACTAAGAACGCTTAACAATTTGCTTACCATTCCCACATTTCCAATATTTCTGGGCAAAGAGGCAATGGTCACTCTTCGAAGAGAAGATGGCTACCCAAAGGGGGAAAATGTACATTTAGAAAATTCTCAGTATTTTGTCCTTGTGTGAAAGACTGATGAATATTCTTGTATGTACACATCCATACACTTGACCACTGCTGAGTTAAACTGTACACATATTTTCAAAGATTTTGTTACGGCCAAAATTGCCTTCCAGAAATATTCCACCAATTTATTTTATTTGGGGGTGGGGGAGGGGGCAAGCAATAACAACTTTCTTCGTTAAACCAGCAGGCCGCGGAGATGGTGGACCAACATCCAAAAGAACCATCTTGCCTGGGTTTGGATACTAGTTTCTTTCTTTTATCAATTTATATTCCACCTTCTCCAACCCTGGATGAGTATAATTTTCACCAATCAAGTAAGGAATGTAAGGTTTTCTGTTTAGGTTTCTAGTAATACTGACCACTGTTTTTCTATGCTGAATAACCGTGTGTGTGTGTGTGATATATATATCTGCTCTGAGAACCACCTATATATTTTGCCTACATTAATTTTGTTAATATTTCTGGCAGAATTTTTTTCTTTTTTGCTGTTAATGCAGCTGAATCTCTTCTCTTTTGCTACTGTTTCTTTTAAGCTTGGGAAGGTTTTCCCCAATTCAAGACGAGTTAAATATGCACCTGTTTTCCAGCATTCTTTTCAAGGTTTCATTTTTTCTATTTAACATATTTAAGAATGAGCATGACATTTTAATAAATGGATATATTTATACATCAGCCTTGAGATTTGTACAGGAAAATGTTACATTTTGTGGCTCTTAAAGTTTAAATAAGTAGAACTTCAGTAAATAAAAGTATCTTAAACATAGGAAATAAAGAAGTTTTATGTGAATTCTTTTCTTAAACCACCAAACCTAATTGAATTTTATAGGTTAGTTGAACATCGAGATATCAAAGTGTGGTCCAGAAACCTGAGTTCTAATCATGGTTCTGTCACTACATAATCATAACTAATTACTCTGTGAAACTGATTTTCCTTATCTGTGAAAAAGAGATTTTAAATGGGATGATTTTTAAATTACTTGCTCAAAAGTTCGATGAAAACATTCTGTGAAATCCTGATTTTCAAACTAACGAAAACCGCTATTTGACTCTCAATATTCCGTTCTCTTCTTATTTTAGTAACAGACCCCTTGATTTTGAGTTAGGCATACGTCCTCCAGAGTAAAAACTGTTTTCACCTTATTTCCAACCAAGAATGAAAAGGGAAATGTCACATGGGACTTTGAGGAGATAAAGCCATCTCAGGCCGTAAGGAGGAAGCAAAGCACAGAGGGTCATGGCGCAGCAAGTGAGGGGGCGACTGGGCCCAGTGGATGTTGTGAAGCTGCTCTCCCCTTGTGAACTGCTTGTTTCCAACTTCAGTTTTACATGAGAGAGAAACTGTTGTCACACTGGCTTTCCTCTCGCTGCCGGGCAAACTTAATTGATACTGACAAATACAGCAAGGAGTGTAAAGCATACATCTATAAACATAAACATGCATGCATGTGTACGTCACAATTACATATGAATTAAAGCCTCTATCTTATGATTTATGTTTAAAGCCATGTTGCTTCAAATAATACTCTAAAACCATCTCCTATAACATTTGACAGGCATTTGTCGAGTGAATTAGTAATTACCTTAGAGTTTAGGGAAGCCGAACGTTTTTTAATTTGGCAGTCATCTGAAAGGGAAAACATCTGAGCAGTTAAGGAATTACACATGCAATTTAATGCAATGGTCTTAATTCTTTACAAAGAAAAGCAATGGTCAGAAAATAAGACCATTGTGGACATCTGGTCATGTATTTGGTGATTCATAACATCAGTAATCTGAACCGGTGGAATACAGTCCTCTGTATCACTGCAGATGTCCACACTGCCTGCCTAGCGCACAGGGCACTAAATGAATGTCTGCTGAATGAAAGACTCCAAAATTGAAAGATCAGAAGGTCATCAAATATTATTTCTAGAAGAGATCAATAAAATGAAAATTCTGCTTCAAAATGTTCATGTTGTCTATTTATAACTATTGCAAGAATATATAAACCTATAACCCTTATGTTAAGATAGTTTCCATGATCTCAGACATCTCCCTACTCCCCAATCCACTGGTCAGCTTACTATGCCACAGTCACTCCTCCTGTTTACACTGCTGTGCCTTGCTGTACGTGTGGAGAAAGAGCCAATTCTAACACATCCCAAGTTGGACATCACTGGGGTCCACTCCATGGGTGGGATTAAGTATATTCTCTCATGTCAGTAATTTAATGAATTGTTGGTGTCTACCATAAAATCCATGTCTCCTAATTTGTTTTCTAATTGACATCTTAATTTGGGGCTATAAAATAATAGGGATGAGTTATTTCTTATATTCTATATATTATATCCTTCTTAAATTCTTCTAATATAACCTTAACATAAGGATGTTTTCCTAAAGACACTGTATAATAAGAATTAGTAAGAGAGAATGAAAGGAGAATGTTAGAAAAACATGATTGATACTCTTATTTTAAACCTGTATTACCTTCATCTTCAAGAGGGTTAAAAGACCTTTCATTCTGCAAAAGAACCTGTTTTAGTTCTTCTAACTCAGCGTGCTCCTTGGCATACATTCTTTTCAGATTCTCTACATGCTGAATCATCACTTCTACTGCTTTACTAACCCGGCTTTCCTGGCAGGAAAAAAACAAAACAAAACACATTTACATTGAAAATACTATTCTCCATGCCCAGTTGTAAGTCAGTGAATTAGACACATGCTTACCTTCACTCCATCCCTAGAGCCTACTAAAATGGCGAGAAGGGTTTTTTTTTTTAAGGCATGTGTACATAAGGGTATATAGAACACGGAAGAGGATATAATAGCAACAAAACTGAATGCCTGCCAAGTAGGAGGACTTGTGGTAAGTGACTAAGACCTGAAAAACTGAACTCTAAGTAAAGCTGTAAGAAAAGCCCAGAAGCAGCCTGGCTTTTACCACAGAAAGCCGCAAGGGCTCAGGAACTAGTGGTGCCTCTGGAACTAAGCTTGAAGGTAGACATGTGAACAGAAGAAATGGTTGAGAATCTGTGTAAAAAGCAATCAGAGCCACAGATCACCGCCCATACTCAGTTCAGCTGAGCAACTGCCCCGCTACCGCTTTGGTGAAACACTACAAGGTTGGATAGCTAGAGAAATTTAAACACAGGGTCTGTGGATGGAGCAGTAACAGACAGTTGATGGTGAGTGGATCACACGGAAAAGAACAGACGGAAGCAGAAGTCTGCATATATACTGAATATTGAGATGCATAACCTTATTCTTCCTTCCAACCACCAAACACTGGTAGCCGGGCTTATACTCTCAAGGTAGACAGCTGGAAGATTTTTCTCTGAGGAATCTAACATTGCAAGATGAAACTCTTAAAAACTGCTGACACTGAGTATGCCAGAAAAACACCCTGGCTCGTGTGAAGCTCAGAGCCACCATGAAACTTCCCCAGCCAGCACATGCAGAGCTCCCAGTCAGCTGTATAGCGGGTCATCGCTAGTCAGAGGAAAGCCTCTAGCTTGAGAAAAGAAAGTCAAAACATAGAAAAAAAGCAAGCTAAAAGAAATGACGTGTAAGGGGGGCAGGGTATAGCTCAGTTTAGAATGTGTGCCTAGCATGCATGAGGTCCTGGGTTCAATCCCCAGCATGCCTATGAAATGAATGATTGAATGAATGAATGAATAAATAAATAGTAAACCTAATTACTGCCCCCCCCAAAAAAGAAAGAAACTGCAGAAAAATGAAAACGCCAAGGAAACTATCAGTATCTTCAGAGAGGTAAGATTAACTATTGTTTCTATGAAATAGGAACAAGATATTATTAAAAAGCAACATTCTGAGTTTTTTTTGAAGTCTGGAAATTAAAAATACGACAAAAAATATGTAACTCGACAGAAGAGTTTCAAGATAAGGTTGAGGAAATCTCTCTGAAACTAGAGCAAAAAGACTAAAAGGTAGAAAAGAGATGAGAAAGGACCACTTCAGGAGATGCAACATTCAAAGAGCAGGAATTCGAGGAGTAGTCAAAATGTAGAGAACATCCACCAAGTGTAGAAAAGGAAATAGCTCGAGAGAATTGCTGAATTCAGGAAGTAACTTGCCAGCTGGGAGCAGCTGAGGATAAATTAGAGAAAAGTAAATAGAAAACAGCATAGCAATCATGGGGAAGGGAAATGATTAACTCCATGAAGAACATGAATGTTGTGCAAAGAAGAAAAAGTACTAGACGACTGTCTCTACTATGAACAGAATTTATATGGTCATAACAGTGTTTATAGATAATATTGACCTAATACTATTCATCCACTAATTTTAATTTTAAAAAAAATTTATGATATTTTCTACAGACACAAAAAGTAGACAATAAACCCACACATATCCATTAATCAGTTTCAAGAACCATCAACATTTTGCTATATGAGTTTCACCTCAATTTTTGAATGCTGTTTTTTAAGAATAGGTGATGGACATCATGTTATTTCACTCTTAAACATTTCAATAAGTATCTAAAAAAAAAGGAGTGTATTTCCTTAAATAATCACAATGCCATGATGACACCTAACATTAACAGAAACACTTTAATATCATCTAGTCCATATTCAAATTTCCCCACTTGTCTCAAAAAAGAATTATTTACAGATTTGTTTGAATTGAAACCTGAAAATGTATATTCATCATGTTTTTTCTTCTTTTAGATAATGATGAGTAATACAAAATTAACTATTTTAAAGTGAACAATCCAGTGGCATTTAGAACATTCAACACCTTGTGCAACCATCACTTCTGTCTAGTTCCAAAACATTTTCATCACCCCCAAATAAAACCCCACACCCATGAATCACCTACTCTCCATTAATCCCTCCCCCAGAACCTGGCAACCACCAAGCTTCTACCTTTCTCTAAAGAGTTACCCAGTCCAGATACTGTGTAAAAAAGGAACCATACAATACGTGACCTTTGTGTCTAGCACCCATACTTAGTTTAATATTTTCCAGATTCATCTACATTATAGCATATATCAATACATTCTTTCTTTCAATGGCTAAATAATATATTAATGTTGCCATAATAATATTGCGATCTCTTCACATCCTTGTCAGTACCAGTTATTTTCCTTCTTCCTTCCTTTCCTCTTTGTATTATAGCTCTCCTAGTGGGTGTGAAGTGGTATGTCAATATGGTTTTGATTTGCATTTCTCTAATGATTAAGCATATTTTCATGTGCTTATTGGCCACTTCTGTATCTTCTTTGTGAAATGTCTATTCAAGTCTTATTTCCTTTTTTCAGCTGGGTTACTTCTCTTTCTGTTGTTAAGCTATAAGCATTCTTTATATATTCTGGATACTAGACCCTTATTAGTTATATGATCTTCTAATATTTTCTCCCATTTTATAGATTATCTTTTCACTTTCTTGGTAATGTCACTTGATACACAAAAGTTTTTCATTTTGAGGAAGTACTATTTTTTTGCTGTTGCTTTTGGTGAAGATTATAACATTGTATGAAGGGAGTGTCTAGAAAAATTTATCACAAAATTTTTATAATGATTGTCACTGCCTAATGCTATCTTGAGAGATTTTTCTTTACATTTTTATTTGCATGCTCCATTTTCCATTTTTTCTGTATTACATACATATGTCTTGTACAATAAAGAAATGTTTTTTTAAAAAAACTTATTCCTAGAAATGTAATCCATAATGTTAAGGAAAATACATTCTTTCAGTAGTTCCACTGTAACTAGAGAAATGGAGACAAATTACCTGATTAATGGCTCCCAGCATCTCAGCCCTACTGACCACTCGTGCTGTGCACTGGCTGAGGAATGTTATGCTCTTCTCCAGCTTCTTAATGATTTCCTGAGCCTGGCTGTCATCTTCACAAAGAGGGGTTAAAGACTGCACAGAAAGGAAAGCAGTAGTAAGTATTAAACCCAAGTACTCAGCAAGTGATTCTAATACTGATTGTGTTGTAAATGCAGGTGACTCTGTTACCTTTATGGAAGGTGAAAAGCAGCAGCAAAGACCAATAATGAATGATACAGAAATATTAACATCTTTGTTGGCCATCAAGCAGGTGCTCCCAAAACCTTTTATACTATCTTATAGTATCATATACTATCTTTGATCCTTTCCTCCTTTACTTTCCAAATTTGCCCCTCCTTCATGTGTATTTATGTCTTTCTTCTATGATTAACAGGATGCAATGTAATTCACTGGCAATGGTAAAGAAATTATGCCTATAAATGAACTGAATGCATTATATGAGAATCATAGCTTGAACTTTTAAGAAAAGTAGTGAAAACAGACTGGAATTATGTATGACTCCGACAACTATATTTGCTCTTCCAGTGATGACAAGTTGAGATTGGGGTGGTTAGGTAGGTACACCTTCATTGCCTTATAAATATTTAATCTCAAATCTGTGCCCTTGATCCAAAGACATAATAATTTAATGGCTACAGAGTTTCAGTAAGAAAGACAAAAAAGTTCTGAAGATTCTGTTTCACAACAACCATGAATATACTTAACTCTACTGAAGTATACTTACAATGATTAATATGATAAATTTTTACATAGAATATGGCTTCTACATTTTTACTTCCATTTTTCCAAAATTAGCCCTGTTAGTTTTCCAACCCATCTTTATATTGATGGTGACCTCATTAAACAGAAGAGTAATAGTAGTTGTTCCACTTCTATGTGCCTTATAGAGGGTTTGCCCATTATCTGAGAAGACTGAAATCAGTCACCATTCTCTTTTCAGTTACTTAAATGAAAATAGACTTTTGATTCTCTTCTTTGAAGCTTAAAATTGATATTATCTCCTATTGCTCAGTTTTCTGCATGATTACTCTTTTGCCTGAAATCTATTTGAAAATCCAGAGAGAAGGCAGATGATTCATGTAACTACTTTAAAAGACATCTATTCACACAAAAACTCCTTGAGCTAATAAACAAATTCAGCAAGGCAGCAGGATACAAGATTAACCTACAGAAATCGGTTACATTTCTTTATACTAACAATGAAATATAAGAAAAGGAAAGTAAAAAAAAAAATCCCTCTTAAAACCACATCCAAATAAATAAACATTTAGGACTAAATGACCAAGGAGGTGAAAGACTTCTATGCTGAGAACTATAAAACACTGATAAAGGAAATTAAAGATGATTTAAAGAAATGGAGATATCACATGTACTTGGATTGAAAGAGTCAATAATATTGTTAAAGTGGCCATACCACCCAAAGCAATCTACAGATTTAATGCAATCCCTATCAAATTACCCAGAACATTTCTCACTGAACTAGAACAAATAATCCTAAAATTTATGTGGAATCACAAGAGACCCAGAATTGCCAAAGCAATACTGAAGAGAAAGAATGAAGTTGGAGGAGTAACCCTCCCAGACTTCAGACAATACTCCAAAGCTACAGTAATTAAAACAGTGTGGTGCTGGCAGAAAAACATACATATGGATCAATGGAATAGAATAGAGAGCCCAGAAACAAACCTACAGTCTATGGTCAATTAATCTTTGACAAAGAAGGCAAGAATATACAATGGAGAAAACACAGTCTCTTCAGCAAGTGGTGTTGGGAAAACTGGACAGTTTCATGTAAATCAATGAAGTTAGAATATTTCCTCACACCATACACAAAAATAAACTCAAAATGGCTTAAAGACTTAAACATAGTGTCCACACAGGACACTATAAATCTTCTAGAAGAGAACACAGGCAAAACCTTCTCTGACATAAATCGTAGCAATGTTTTCCTAGGTCAATCTCCCAAGGCAATAGAAATAAAAGCAAAAATAAATAAATGGGACCTAATTAAACTTACAAGATTTTGCACGGCAAAGGAAACCATAAACAAAGACAACCTACAGACTGGGAGAAAATATTTGCAAATGATGCAACTGATGAGGGCTTAATTTCCAGAACATACAAACAGTTAATACAATTCAATACCAAAAAAACAAACAACCCCATCAAAAAATGGGTAAAGACCTAAACAGACATTTCTCCAGTGAAGATATATAGATGGCCAATAGGCACATGAAAAATGCTCAGTATCGCTAATTATCAGAGAAATGCAAATCAAAACTACAATGAAGTATCCCCCTACAGCAGTTAGAATGGCCATCATTTAAAAGTCCACAAATGATAAATGCTGCTCTCCAGATGAGGATATCCTCTCGATATGGAGAAAAAGGAACTCTCCCCACTCTATTGGTGAACATGTAATTTGGTGCCACTATGGAAAACAGTAGGGAGATTCCTTTCAAACCAAAATAGTGTTACCATATGATCCAGCATTCCCACTCCTGGGCATATATCTGGAGGCAACACTAAATCAAAAAACACATGTACACCAGTGTTCAAAGCAGCACTATTTACAATAGCCAAGACATGAAAGCAAGCAAAGTGTCTGTCGACAGATGACTGGATAAAGAAATTGTGGTGTATATATACAATAGAATACCACCCAGCCATAAAAAAGAATGAAATGATGCCATTTGCAGCAACAGGGATGGACCTGGAGATTGTCATACTAACTGAAGTAAGTCAGATAAAGATAAATATCTTATGATATCATCTGTATGTGGAATCTAAAAAAATGACACAAATGAACTTATTTACAAAACAGAAAAGGACACATAGACATAGAAAACATGGTTGCCAAAGGGGAAAGGGAAAGGGGGGGGATAAATTAGGAGCTGGGATTAGCTGATACTAACTACTACGTATAAAATAGATAAACAAGGTCCTACTGTATAGCACGGGGAGCTGTATTTAATGTCTTGTAATAATGAAAAAGTATATATATGTGTATAGCTGAATCACTATGCTGTACAGAAACTAATACATTATAAATCAAAAAATGTATAAAAAAGACATTTATTTGCTTTTATTGCTTACATCCTCCTTTAATGAACATTTTCTCTTGGCCTGATCCTGAATTCTTACCCCTTACTAATTCACAGCTGGGTCAGGCAGGGCTTAATACTTGGTGTTGGTTCTAGTCATACAAGTAAACTCATTTGTAATTTTGAAAACCTTATTAATAATATGATCAAAAGTGTCGTCCTCAAATAGTACGATTCTCACCTCTAACAGTTTTAGACAGTTAGCGATTTCTTTCTTCAAATTTTCTTCTGCCAAGTCACGGGATCTTTCTTCAAGCTTCACTCTTTTCTCCAAGGTGAACCAGTCGCATTTAAATCCCAAAGATAATCTGAGAAACTCGGCCTGTTGTCAAAATAACGTGAGGGTGAGGGGAGAAAAACTGGATGTGGTCAAATATTTCAGTTTAATCCCAAATATGCAGAGGCATTTCTTTCTCCTCCCAGTGACATAATGCTGGCATGCATAGACTTTTCTTGCCCTTTGTCATGGCAAAGCCAAACAGACACCAAGCCTATGACAGCTTGCACAAAAGCATGAAGTGACTGTAGGTGAGTCTGAAACACTTCTTTTTTTATCAAAGGAAAAAAACATCTGCTTTAAACTTACCTCTACCTCCTTCTCGTTAGTAGAAATGCTGCAGGATAAGAGAAAGAAGTTATTCAAAGAGAATTCAACAGAAAAGCCAGAAACGTTAGCAAGCTACATGAAAAAGAGCTTACTTGTCACTCTGTCTAAAGTTAACGGACTTCACAGTGGTTACAGGAAGGGAGGAAAGAGCAGCATCTATTAAAAGACAATAAAATGTTATTTGGTTAAAAAGGCTTAATAGATAGCTAAAGGCACGTTCAATCAACTGTTGTTACGTTCTCTCTCCACTAAACAGGCATCTCATTAAAATATGTCTGAGAAGATGGTCAGCTAACAATACATTTGCTTAAATGTAAGATAATGTTATGCTTTGCTACTGGGATCACAATGATGTTAAATCAGAGGCTCACATTCCAGCCTGGGAATAGTCGTTGAAGATGTCTGGGAGTCAAAGGACAGCCCGAATTACTTTTCTTTGCATTTGAATGTTTATTTGACTTGATCCTATGGTTAAATGCATACCTTTCTCTGGTACCCTGGTCCTTCTGAGGATCAAGAGTTTAAAAGCAGCAACAACAGGTGTCGTAGTGATTCTGGTGGTGGTGGTGGTGGTGGTGG